CGCACAAAGCCCATATGGCTAGAGGAGAGGTAGGAGGGGGTGGATTGTATGTAGATAGGGGAGGGGTTGTTGGACCCTTGACATTCCTTCCCTCCTCCCCTCCTCCCTCCTCCTCTGGCATTGTTATTTAAGCAGAGGTTGTCATTGTGTCTGTGTTAGGGAGGGGGCGTTGGGGGTCACTGGGCACAGGTCATATTCCTTTCTCTCAGGTGTGTAGGAGGGCGGTGTGGCTACACTGTGCTGCTGATGGTGGTGGTGGCAGGTGCAGTGTTTATAGTGTGGGTATAGTGCTGTTTGGGTAGTGCTAGGGTAAGGTCGTGGTGTGGGTGTAGATGGTGTCGCGTGGGTGCTGCGTGGGTGGGTGGTGGGTGTAGGTGGTGTCGGGTGGGTGTTATGTGGGTGTCGGTTGGGTGTGGGTGGTTTCGTGTGGGTGTAGTCTCATGTACACTGGGAACTATGGTCTAGAACAGGAAGTGTTGTGTGTGTGTGTATGTGTGTGTGTGTTATAGTGTTATTAGCCATGAGTTGTAGAGGTCGTGAAGCTAACCTTCCTTCCTTCCTTCCTCTTTCCTCTCTTCTTCATTCCTTCTTCCCTCCATCTATCCTTCATTCATTCATTCCTCTATCCATTTACTTTTTCCTCCTTCCTTCCTTCTATCCCCCGCCCCCCATACTGTTGTCATCCTCCTCCTCCACCTCCTCCCTCCCTCTCTCCTCTCATCTCCCCCTCTTCCCCACTATCTCCACTCCACTCCTCCCACCACTCCACCCCTCCAGCACCAGATTCTTCACACTCCAACTCCATCTGTGAAGGCATTTAGACTTCATTTTTTCGAAACATATTATCAGGGAAGAATTTGTGTTTCTTCGGGATATATGGCTTTTACTGCTATGGGGGGAGGATGGGGAGGTGGAGGAGGAGAGGGATGGGAGGAGGGAAGTGAGAGGATGGGCAGTGAGGGAAGTGAGAGGGATGGGGAGGTGAGGGAAGTGAGAGGATGGGGAGGTGAGGGAAGGAGAGGATGGGGAAGTGAGAGGGATGGGGAGGTGAGGGAAGGAGAGGGATGGGCAGGAGGGGCTAGGAGGAGAAGAGAAGAGAGGAGAGAACATGAAAAGGAAAGGAGAGAGAGGGGGGGAGAATATGGGGGAGAGGGGGTAAGACAAGATCACTTACTCCTGTGGGGGGGGGTAGATAAGAGGGTTGCTGGGGGTATATCCTCTTATGCTCGAGGCTTATGTCGTCCCTGTACTGAGTCTCAGTCCCTGCCCTCCCCTCACTTCCCTTTCCCCCTCCCCCACTCTTCCCTCCTTGTATATAGGATCTGTGTAAGGTGGACTTGATTGTGTGTGTGTGTGTGGTCTTCAGGTGTATAACAGGTGTGTGGTCCTCAGGTGTATAACAGGGTAGAGGCCTAGAAACACACACACACACACACACACACCTTTGTTTTCCACTGCTGGGCTGAACTGTGTGCTGATGTACGGAAATTTTTAATGTTTAACCTGCGCTAGGAGGAGGGGGGGGGGAGAGGAGGAAGGAGGGATAGGCGGGAAGGAGGGATAGGTGGGGTGAAGAGGGAGAGATAGAAGGGATGTGTAGGAAGTGGGAGAGTTGGGAATAGAAGGAACAGGAAGGAAGAAGAAAAAGGAAACGAAGAGGAAGAGGAAGATTGAAATTTAGAAAGGAAGAGGAGATGAAGGGACAGGAAGGAAGAGGAGACGAGGGAAGGGAATAAAAGAGATGGGAGGAGGAGAGAAGAAAAAAGAGAGCTCAGGTGTGGTGGTAGTAGTAGTAGTAGAAGAGGCGGGTAGGGAGGTGGCGGCGTCCTGACAGTAACGTGGGAAAAGGTTGAGAGGAATTAATTAAACACAAGTGCTTGAGTGAGTCTTCGGGGGAGTGGGCGGGAGGGCGAGGAGAAGAAAGGCAACGAAGTGGAGAGGAGAGAGAGAGAGAGAGAGAGAGAGAGAGAGAGAGAGAGAGAGAGAAGTTACGCCAGACTAGACGAACATAAGCCCACATCATCAATGCCTATCCTGGCGTCCTTTTTATGACACGGACATAAACGCCTCCACGTGATTGTCTGAAGAAGTAAAAATGGTTATAACTGTAATATATAACCACGTCAGCGCTGTGCATGAGGTAATGGTTGTCAGGGAAAGTATATAAACCACGTCAATGTTGTGTTTGTGTGTGAGCGGGCAGCAATGTAACCCCCCCTCTGCTGACGCGTGTGTGTGTGTGTGTCGTGGTTGGTCATAAAGTGTGGTGGTAAAGAGGGAGCAGCATGGTGTCGTGGCTGGACGTTGATGTCGCCTCACTTTGGGTCATCCAGAATTTTTTTTTTTTTATGCGTTTTCCCACTAGCCGGTTGTCGATAGTGTTATACTACTACTACTACTAACCACCCTTACTTACGACTACTGGCAGGCTTTTCTTACAGTTGCTAGACCACTCATCGACTGTCACAACAACAATAATAACAGATTCAACAACATTATTGACAGTACCGTACCAATTATCCCAAGAAAATTATTATAAACAGACGTGGATAAGATAGATCGTCTGGTTACATACATACATACATACATACATACATACATACATACATACATACATACATACATACATATATACATACATACATACATACATACATACATGGCTCCCTTAAGTGGATGTCCCTTGTCTTGTTCCCTTCCCACCAGCTAAGGTGCAGAACTGCGTCAGCAAGAAGTGAGGCAGGAGACAAGGAAGGGGGAGGGTTGAGGTGGGTAGAGAGAAGGGGTGGGTAGAGAGAATGGGGTGGGCAGAGGAGAAGGGTGGGGGGCAGGGAGGGAGGGAAGGGGAGGCAAGAGGAAAGTCAGATTGGGAAGGAGGAGGAAAGACAACAGAGAAGGACAGGGAGGGAAAAGGATAATTTGGGAGACAGGGAGAGAGAGAGGAAGGGAGGACAGGAAGGGGAGGGAGAAGAACAGAGAGTTGGGGAGGGAGGAAGGGAGAATCGTAAGAAGAGGGAGACAAGAACGGTAGGGGATAGGGAGGTAGAGGGGACGGAGGTAGGGAGAGGGAGGTAGGGAGAGAGGATAGGATAGGGAGAGAAGAGGGAGAGGTGGCGGAGGTGCAGCCGAGTCGGAAATTGTCCAAAGGAGGAAGACGACACCAAATTTGATTCAGGATTTTATTTTTTTTCCCAGTTAAAGACTCTCTTCTTCTTCTCTGTTTGTTTGTTTTGTGTTTCATATTTATTTAGGGGTCAGTCCGTTTGTTTTCATCTAAGCGTCTCCTTTAACCTAACCTAACCTAACCTAACTCTACCCTAACATGACCTCCAGCTTAAGGTAATTGGGTACTTACCTCAGGACACGGCAGGTGGTGTGGTCACGAGTTTAATTATCTTTATTCAGTGTGTGTGTATGTATGTATGTATGTATTTTGGATGTATGTATGTATTTGGGATGTATGTTTGTATGTATGTGTATGCGTGTGTGTGTGTGTGTGTGTGTGTGTGTGTGTGTGTCGGAGAAAAGGTCGTCTAGTCATTGTTGTTAGTACATAATTTATCATCACCACCACCACCATCACCACCACCATCACCACCACCATCACCACTATCACCATCACCACTATCACCATCACCACCACCATCACCACCACCATCACCACTATCATCATCACCACTACTACTACCAACAACACCACTATCACCATCATACCAATCATTATCACCACCACACCACCTCCATGTTCACATCACCACCCGACAACCGCATCCGACCACCCGACTTAACACCGACAAAGATCATACGAATTACAGAAGAGGAAAAGAGAAAAAATGATGGTGGGAATGATTGCCTGGAATCTACAACAAGGAGGGAAACTGGGAATGACCCCTGAACACGGGGATGGGAATGCATATATTTTTTTTCTTCTGAGTAAACGAATGGGTTACAGACAGATGGTGGTGATAGTGGTGGGGATAGTGGTGGTGGTGGTGGTAGAGGCGATGATTGGAGGTGTTGGAGGAGGGGTGGGGAGACAGGGGTAGGTAGGAGGTCAGGGAACAATATATGGAGGGTGTGGAAGTTCCGGAGGGGTGGGATGGAGGAGGGGAGGGTGGGGGATGGAGGAGGGAAGGTGGGGTGGGGGGATGGAGGGGGAGGGGAGATTGAAAAGAAGTTGAAAGGGTTATCAGAGCCTGTGGATAATGGTGCCTGTCTGCTGGGGTGAGGAGGGTGTGGGGGTGGGGTGAGGTGGAGGTGGGGGGGACAGGTGAGAAAGGGGTGGGGTGAAGTGGAGGTGTGGGGGAAAATGGTGGGGATGGACTGAGTTACTAAAGATTTTGTCTGCCTCCTCCTCCTCCTCCTCCTCCTCCTCCTCCTCCTCCTCCTCCTCCTCCTGAGTTGGCTGTTAACAGGAATTTGGTGACAAGGACAGTGGGGGGAGGGGTTGGGGGAATGGGGAGGAGGAAACGAGGGAACTGGGAGGTGACATGGCAACGAAGAACCGGAGGAGGAAATGAGGGAAGGAAGAGAAGGGGAAATGGTGAGGGGGAGGAGGAGGAAGCAAAGGGAGGAGGGTGGTGGAGGAGGAGGAGGAGGAGAAACGAAGAAGGAACATAAAAGGAGGAAGAAGAATAGGTAGAAAATAAACAAAAGTTAAAGATAAATTGGAGAAAAGGGGGAAAGAGAATGAATTGGGGAGGTGGAAGATAAGATAGGAGGAGGAGGGGGGGGAGGAGGAGTGGTGGTCAATTAGTCTCTCAAGAAGAAGAAGAAGAGAAGGAAGGAAGGAAGGAAGAAGGAAGAGGAAGGAAAGGAGATAAGGCAGAGAAAGGAAGTGTGGATGACAGGAGGAGGAGGAGGTAGTGGTCAGTCCCGCAGGAGGAAGACCAGCAGGAAATTGGGCCATGGCCTCAGTTGGCCCTCCTGAGTGAACCTACCTTCTCTGCCCTTTGATCATAACCTTAAATTTTTTTCCATCCAATATCTCCAACATGCAGCATCATTTATCTCCAGCATTCAATATCTCCAACATCCAGTATCTCCAAGAACCAGTATATCCAGCATCCAGTATCTCCAAGAACCAGTATCTCCAGCATCCAACATCTCCAACATCTCCAACATCCAGTATCTCCAACATCCAGTATCACCAACATATGACATCCAGTATCTCCAACATTCAGCATCACCATCATTTATCTCCAACATTGAGCGTCTCCATTTGTGGGGAGTTTTACGACCCATAACAGAGGTCTTTTGTGTGAGGGATGGTGGTAGTAGTGGTAGTGATGGTGGTAGGTGGGTAGTAGCGTTTGTGGTGGTGATGGTAGTAGTAGTGGTGGTGGTGGGAGGTAGAAGTGGTAGTTGTGGTAATGTGTGTAACGGTTTTGGTGATGTTAGGGGTAAAAGTAGTAGTAGTAGTAGTAGTAGTCAAGTAGTAGTAGTAGTAGTCGTAGTAGTAGTAGTAGTAGTAGTAGTAGTAGTAGTAGTATTGCTGCGATGTATACCCAATAAATGATGGTACATGTGCAAGAATAAATTGTCTGTGTTGTGTTGCATTGTAATGTGTGTGTGTGTGTAAATTGTTTTCAATGATATATATTTTGTGTAGTTTGTGTGTATACAGTATTCCTTTGGGTATGTTGTTTTGAGTGATTTTCTGTATATGTTTTGAATATGTTGTTTCCGTCAGCCCACACCCAGAAGCTCAGAGGATTCTCAGTCTAATTTCCTTTCCTTACATAATGACGCCTGGGAAGACTCAGCCAGTGTTGACCTCTGAGTGACGCCCAGTTGCCTCAGAGACTTGATCACAGGGAGGGGAGAGGGAGGAAAGGGGGTGGGAGAAGAGAGAGGGAGGTGGAGAGGAGAGAGGGAGGGAAGGGAGGGAGAAGAGAGAGAGGGGGGGGTGGAGGAGAGAGAGGGGTGGGAGGGAAGGAAGGAAGGGGTGGGAGAGGTAGGAGGAAGAGAGAGAGGGCTGAGAGGAAGGAGAGGGGGTGGAGTGGTGGGAGGAAAGAGAGAAGGTTTGGAGTGGGTGGTGGAGGAAGGAGAGAGAGGGGGAATGAAAGAGAGAGAGAAGGAAGTAGAAAGGATAAAGAGAGAGGAAGAGAGAGAGAGAGAGAGAGAGAGAGAGAGAGAGAGAGAGAGAGAGAGAGAGAGAGAGAGAGAGAGAGAGAGAGAGAGGTTGCCTTGTGAACCCACCTCTTGGTGTCTTGGTTGTGAAATTGACCTTGTGCCATTTTTTGTCACTTATTTAGTCGTCGTGTCTTGTGATGATGGTGGTTAGTAGTGGTGGTAGAAGCGATGGTGGTTAGTAGTGGTGGTAGAAGCGATGGTGGTTAGTAGTGGTGGTAGAAGCGATGGTGGTTAGTAGTGGTGGTAGAAGCGATGGTGGTTAGTAGTGGTGGTAGAAGCGATGGTGGTTAGTAGTGGTGGTAGAAGCGATGGTGGTTGGTGGTGGTAGACGATGGTGGTTAGTAGTGGTGGTAAACGGTGGTTAAGTAGTGGTAGAAGCGATGGTGGTTAGTAGTGGTAGTAGAAGCGAGTGGTGGTTGGTGGTAGTGGTGGTGGTAGAAGTGATGGCAGAAAGCGCCTCTTGCTTTTAAAAGAGAACACTAACACACCCTCCCACCACACACTACCCACCACCTACCCACCACCACTACACACCACTACTACCACCCACCCCACCACCACCCTCACCACCACTACTACACTACACCACCACCCACCACCACCACCACCACCTGCTATCTGCCAGTGTTTAGTGGCAGTGTTAGAAGAGACAGAGACAGAGAGTTGAGATGGAATAGAGAGATAAGATGAGATAGAAGAGAGAGGTTGAAATGAGATACAATATACAATAGCAATACCTTTATCCCCAACAACAACAACCACCACCACCACCACAACAACAAAACAAATTTTACACACGAATAAATTTCTCACTTAGGATTTTTTCATCTTACCTCTGAACACAAAGCTTGGTTTAGGGGACCTGTGTTCACTAAGTTTGGTCTGTGGAAGTAAGTTTATTGTAGTAGGATGTTTTTGTGTAAGTTTAATGTGGGGGTAATAGATAGTACCTCACCTCCTTACCTTACTACTACTTTACCTCACTTATCTTCCTCCCACATATTTCACTTCACTTCCCTCGACACCTCTTCTTAACCTATCCTTCTAACATCTTAACTACTAACCTCACTACACCTCACCTAACCCCTACAACCTAATCTAACCTTTCATATTTCCTCCTCAGATTTTTTCCATTTTTCCTCCCTTGTCTTTTCCTTCCTGGCTGAGAATGTCCTCTTGGGGGAGTCCAGCTTGTCATTCATCATTCAGAGTACAGGATTCTCCTCTCCTCTCTCTCTCTCTCTCCCAACCTGATTGGCTAAATGGGTATAAGAAACATCCAATCACAACTCTCTAAATTACTGACGTCAACAAGGTCTCTTTTTTGAGGTAGTTCTGGACCATTGGACCATTGTATCATGGACCCTGATATAGTGCCCAGCCTTAGCGACCTCTTCCTCCCTCTCTTCCTCCTCCTCCTCTTCTTCCCTCTATCCTTCTCTTTTTACTCTATCCTCCACTCACCTCAGCCCCTTCCTTCTTCTCCCTCCTCCTCCTCCAACCCATCCTCCACCTCCTCCCCCCTGTCTTCCTCCTCCTCCATTACCACTTCCTCCTCCCTCTTCTTCTTCCTCCACCTCCTTCTCGTCATGCCACCACCCGGCGTCAGATAGCTACATCCTCCAACACTCCCTACGGCCAATTTCTCCTGTCTGGTGGTGCCTCTGTCATCCTTACTGCCTGTCACTATGGCGTTATCTGCCCGTCACTTGCACCGAGAATATGACTGTCTAGGATTGGTGGATGTAGTGTGGTAATAATTAGTGATGTGGTAGTGGTAGTAATTGTGTTCGATCTCTTTGGACGCTCACTATGGCGGCGTCTTTGAGGCTGGGAGGATGAGATCGTGTGTGTGTGTGTGTGTGTGTGTGTGTGTGTGTGTGTGTGTGTGTGTGTGTGTGTGTGTGTCAACGAAGATGCTTGATAATGTCTTTGGTGTTTTCTGAAGTTTAAATGAAGTGGTAAGGAAGGGGTGGTGGGTGGAGGGGTATGAAGGGTGAAGGTCGAGGGTGAGGAGGAGGGAGATGAGTTGGTTGGTGAGGAAGTGGTGGGTGAAGGGGGAGGTTGAGGTGGTGAGGAAGGGAATGTCAAGATGGATGGATGAGGGGGAAGTTTCAAAGAGGATGGGTGAATAAGGATCGAGGTGGATGACTGGGTGAGTGGAGGGTGAGAAATGGGGTGGTCATTCTCTCCTCCTCCCAGACACCAGGTTGGGGAGGGGGGGGTGGGGGGAGGGAAGGGGGACGAGCGTTGGATGCCGTGTGCTGACAACAAGAGAAAGAGAAGAGTAGAATATTAATACATCTGGTCGCCATTATTGTGTGTACATGGGATGGCTGGAGAGGTGGGGGGGGCACCTCTTGTTCTATGGTGGCTCTTGAGTGTGGTGTGTGTGTGTGTGTGTGTGTGTGTGTGTGTGTTGTGTGTGTGTGTGTGTGTGTGTGTGTGTGTGTGTGCATTCACGTTTGAGTTTGGACCCCATTTGAGCCCCTGATATCACCCCTCTCAACCCCTGATACCTAATACACCTAAAATAAACCTCATCTTCTCCAGCTCTCTATAAACTGAGTGAAAGTTAAACTCTGTTGCCTTTCTTCCCAGACTCAAACACGGCGCTCGGTTACATATCACAATCCGGTTGAATGTACAGAATAATAATAGAAGGAAGCACTCAGGAGGAAGGACACACGGGGAAGCACTTATAGGAGGAAGTACTAAGGGGAAGCACCTATGGGGAAGCACTCATAGAAGGAAGCACTCATAGGAGGAAGCACTCATAGAAGGAAGCACTCATAAGGAAGCACTCACAGGAGGAAGCACTCAGGAAGGAAGCACTTGGGTACGATCAGAACGCAGTGATTGACTCTGTTGATGGTGATGTGTTTTGGGTCTTGTTGGTTTACAGTGTGTTCTGTCCCCCTCCCAACCCCTCCCACCCCATCCTACCCCTCCCAACCCCATCCCACCCCTCCCAACCCTATCCCACCCTCCCAACCCCTTCCCACCCCATCCTACTCCCCTCCCAACCCCATCCCACCCCCTCCCGGTCCCATCCCACCCCCTCCCAACCCCTCCCACCCTCCCACCCCTCCCAACCCCTCCCACCCCTCCCAACCCTCCCACCCCTCCCAACCCCTCCCACCCTCCCAACCCCATCCCACCCTCTCCCAACCCATCCCACCCCATCCCCTACCCTCCCAACCCCATCCCACCCTCTCCCAACCCTCCCAACCCCTCCCACCCCATCCTACCCTCCAACCCCATCCCACCCTCCCCAACCCCCATCCCACCCCCTCCACCCCCTCCCAACCCTATCCACCCCTCCAACCCCATCCCACCCTCCCAACCCCCATCCCACCCCTCCCACCCCATCCCAACCCCATTCCAACCCCATCCCACCACCCCCAACCCCATCCCACCCCCTCCCACCTTCCATCCTACCCTCCCAACCCCATCCCACCCCTCCCACCCCATCCCACCCCCTCTCTAACCCCATCCCACCCTCCCAACCCCATCCCTCCCAACCTCCCTCCCAACCCCATCCCACCCCTCCCCAACCCCATCCCACCCCCTCCTCCCACCCTCCCAACCCATCCCACCCCCTCCCAACCCCATCCCACCACCTTCCAACCCCATCCCACCACCTTCCAACCCCATCCCACCACCTTCCAACCCCATCCCACCACCTTCCAACCCCGTCCCACCCCTCTCCCACCCCTCCCAACCCCTTCCCAGTGCATCATGGAGTGGGAGGTGACCTTGTATTATGGGGAGGGAAGTGTCCGGGACAATGGAACCATCAATGAGAGTCGCCTACCCAGCGCTTGACAAATGGTGACCGTGGGCGTGAGGGAGTGAAGGATTGTGGGCGTGAGTGAGTGACCGTGGGCGTGAGTGAGTGACCGTGGGTGTGAGTGAATAAGTGACCGTGAGTGACTGTTGGTGTGAATGACTGACTGAGTGAGTGATCGTGGGCGTGAGTGAGTGAAGGATTGTGGGCGTGAGGGAGTGACAGTGATCGTGGGCGTGAATGACTGAGGGACCATGGGCGTGAGTGAGTGAGTGAAAGGACTGTGGGCGTGAGGGAATGAGAGTGATCGTGGGCGTTAGT